AGACAAGGTTGAAGCCCTGCTTTGGCATTCTGGCTTCCTGGGAGAGGGCCCTGTGGGGTGTTGGAAATTAGTGGGCCCACCAAGTGGCCTTGTGGTGGATCCTGGGATTTGAACCCCAGGCATTTTTGGGCTCCCGGGCCTTGATCTGGAGGGGCCCAAGGGGTAGCCTTTTCCGGTGGCCTGGGGAGAGAGGGGTCAAAAGGGGGCAAGCATCTCCTGGTGGGGGGAGAGGGGAATCTGTGGGGTGCAAAAGACCCCCAGAGGATGGTCAGAGGAGGGAGGGGAGGCCTTCTCCCTGGGTGCCTGACGCACTTGGATAGACAGCGCAGCAAAGGTTCCAGTTGGATGTTGAAGGTTCTGCCAGGGTTGTTCCCCAGAGGGCCATCTGGGAATAGCCAAGCATCACACCAGCTTCAAACCAGTACATTCGCCCAGGGGAACCGGGTTTCTCTTTTTGTGTGGAGCACAACCCTTAGAGTTTACTCCCGTTGGTATGGACCACCCACTTCACAAGAAAAAATTCTTTTCCCCGACCAGACTAGAAACAGCACCAACGCTTAACTCCTCCTCCTTGTCTGGGCCTGCGAGGCCCCGACAAAGGTTAGCTCTGCTCCCCTACGACTTCCCTCCTGGGTTGTATGAACAAGCTTCCCACACTGTAGTCAGTTATTCTTCCAGAGAGCAAACCTGGCTGCACCACTGCCTGCCTAAAAGGCTTCAACTCTCCCCAGCACCCTCAGATCAAACAGCCTGAACTTGATGCCGGAGCACTAACAGCGTACTTGTAGCTCTCCAAACAAAAAAATGAAGAACACCTCTAAGAGAACTGCCTAGCTTCCTCTGCTGGGACACAGTGCCGTGGTCAGACCTGCTCTCTGGAGCTGGACAGGATGGGTTCAAATCCTGGGTCTGCCACCTAGTGGTATAACCTTGCATGAGTCACTTCACTTGTCTGGGATCCAATTTTCCCGCTGTAAAAGGGATAAAAATACCATCCACCTCATGATTTGTTTTCAGGATTTTTTAAAAAGATGGAGTATATATAGCCCTTAGAATGATTATGTTGAAAGTATCACCATCTGGCAAGTAGTAGATAGATTCAACTTCACAGGAAGTAAACGGATACTCCATGAGACTTGCCTGCCTTCATTTGGCTGGTGAATGACATTCGAGATTCAAGCCCAAGTTTTCAGAGTCTAATTCTGCCTCTCCCATATGATGACTGTAATGGCCCATCTTTTTAAATATATGTGCGTGTGTGTGTGTGTGTGTG